AAATCTTTTACAATAATTAATAAAATATATTGTTGATAAATTTGATTGATTTGTGTTTTTATAAAAATAAAAATAGATAGAAACAAATAGGTAATATATTTTGGAAAATGAATCCTAAATATATATTTATAACAGTTATAGCTTCTAATTGGATATCAATTAAATTTTTTTAAAACCAAAATTCTACTGTCAAAATTCTAAAGCCAATTTTTTTATAATCTGAATTCTAAAGTAGACGATCTTTTGGTAGAATAAAGTCCCAGATGAAAGCACATATGATTGCATTGGTATGGGTTACTGAAGCTCTTAACGACATTAGGATGAACAATGTTATCCTTGAGATGTCTGCTCCCCAAATCCCACCTAGCTTTGCTCAGCCATCTCTTTCATGGAACCTACACCCATGCCCGGGTTTGACCTAAAACATGTGATACAAAGGTATGGGATCTACTTTTTATGTAAAAAATTTAGGCATATTTTTTCATTGTCATTAGTTATTAATTATATCAATTTTATATGTGCACATGGTCGATAAGTAAAGAAAGGGGTGGAATATCCTTTGTGTTATTAAACATGAATGGTTTAAAAGGAAAAAAAAAAAGAAAAAAAAATATGACGATAACAGGAAAAAAGAAAATAGTTGATTTAGAATAATTAACTCCTAGGTTATTTTTTTTCTTCTTCACAAACATTCTTTCACACCTCTTCTACTACTCCATCAAGTCATCAGGTACCAAATTCTCAAATTTTGATTTTAGTTTTAATTTTGTTCTTGATTTCTTGTCATCAAATCACAGATGAAAAGTCACAATTTTTTTTTTTTTTGTGTTTCTATGTTTTCCAATTTTAGAATAATGAAGTCAAAATATGAAAATGGAACTAAGAAACGGGAGAAGAAAAAGAGAGAAGAAGAATTGAAAAAAATCCAATCAGGTGCAATGTTGAGGTATTTTAAAAAAACCAAAATCTTCTAGTACTGATCAATATAGTGGAAATGAAAAAGATGTTAGAATAGAAGATGAACACTGTGAGACTTCTAAAAAAGGAGAAGAAGATGGAATTAGAATGGACTGTGCAAGCAAAGAGAAAGAATCAAGTGATAATATGGCTGAGAAAGATGGTGAAGATGCTAATCAAAACGCAGATGTTTCCACAGAACATGACTCTTTTGTTGATGTTTTGGATCCTGCAAACTGGGAAAAAAATGATCAAGCAACGAGGGATTCTTTGGTTTGTAAAGGTCCTCTAGCAAGACCATCTCATGATTATACTTTTCATAAAAACACTATTGGTAGACACTTCTCTCATAGAAATTACAAAAGACGTATGAAGAATGGGGATACACAAGATCGACAATGGCTGGTTTATTCCACAAAGTTAGAGAAAATTTATTGCTTCTGCTGCAAGTTGTTTGGAGGGGACAGAGATACTACTCAGTTGGCTAGTACAAGATTCAAGGATTGGAACAATGTTCAGTTAAGGCTTAGCCAACATGAAAGTAGTCATTGTCACATCAAGTGCATGAGCCATTGGATAGAATTAGAATTGAGATTGCAAAAAAATCTAACGATCAACAAGCATATCCAAAAAGAGATCAATAAAGAGAAAAAAACATTGAAGAGAAGTTTTATTGAGATTGTATTCACTAGTAAACACTATGGCTAAATGCAATATAGCATTTCGTGGAAACAATGACAAGATTTGTCAGGATAACAATAGAAATTTTCTTGGCTTTATTGAAATGCTTGGAGAAACTGATCCATTTATCCAAGAGCACATCAGGCGAATTAAAGGAGGAGAAACTCATTATCACTATCTCAGCCATAAAATTCAGAATGAAAGAATATCAATGTTGGGATCTGAGATGAAGCTCATGATCATTAAGAAGATTCGAGATCCTAAGTATTTCTCTGTCATATTTGATTGTACTCCTGATATTAGTCACAAAGAGAAAATGTCTCTTATTAGTCAATGTGTGGATGTCTCGGTAGATTCAGCTCAAGTTGGAGAGTATTTTATCCATTTTTTGGAAGTTGATGATATAAGGAAATGACTGTTTGATCTACTTTGTGACACACTGGTTGATCTTAATTTGGACATTGATGATGTGAGGGAACAAGGCTACGACAATGGCTCAAACATGAAGGGAGAAAACAAAGGTGTGCAAAAAGATTGCTTGATGTTAATCCAAGAGATTTTTACACACCATGTGGTTGTCACAATCTGAATTTGGGACTTTGTGATATGGCTAAGTCGTCTGAAAAAAGGATTGATTTCTTTGGGATCATCCAGCGTTTATATAATTTATTTTCACCTTCTACGACTAGGTGGGATATATATAAGAAAATGGTTGGAGGTCCTACACTTAAACCCATATCAGATACTCGTTGAGAGAGTCACATTGATAGTATTAAAGCAATACGCTTTCAAGCTCCAGAAATGAGATGCTTTGTTTTACTTGGCAGAAACTACTTTTGATCCTCAACTCCGGAGTACTGCTAAATGTCTTGCAATAAGTGAAACACACGGAATTGGAGGATTTGAGTTTTTGTTTGGTATGGTTATATGGTATGAGATTTTGTCTGCCATTAATATTGCAAGCAATACTCTGCAGGCTGAAGATATTGATATTGATGCTGCTATCACTCAGCTAAAGGGATTGGTCTCTTTTTTCAGAAGTATAGAGAAACAGAATTTGAAGAAGCCAAAGCTGAAGCCAAAAAAATTGCAGTTGTTATTGATATTGAACCCATTTTTCATGTGAAAAAGAAGCGACTTATGAAAAAGAGAACAGAATTTGGTGAGGAGTCATGCCAAGGTATTGGTGACAATATGGTTATGAGCGAGGAAGATAGTTTCAGGATAGATTACTTCATCAAAATCATGGATCAAGCTCTAGCGTCTTTTCAAACAAAGATATAACAATTTCAAGAGTATGAGAAATTTTTTGGTTTTGTGTTTGATATGAGAAAGCTCAACTCAATAAGAGATGATAGCTTGAAGATATCATGTAGCAACCTTGAAGATTCTCTTAGGTTATGATGTCGATGGAAATGATTTATTTTTTGAAATCAAGCTTTTTCGAGAAATTCTGCTTGAAGATATCAAGAAGCGTGTTGAGGTACTATTTTTTTTTTTTGAGAAGTTACAAGAAGGGTTATCCAAATATATGGATTTCCTACCTAGTAATGTTTATCATCTCAGTTTCAGTTTCCTCAGCTGAAAGAAGATTCTCAAAGCTGAAGTTGATCTTACTTACGGTCAACTATGTCACAAGAAAGATTAAATGGTTTGACTATGTTGTTAATTGAAAAGGATATGATCAAGAACCTTGATTACGAAAGTTTGATGGATGATTTTGCAGGAAAAAAATTCAAGAAGATCAATATTTAAGAACTGATAATTTTTATTAGTTTTGGGATATTGTAATTTTTTTATTATAAACTTGAATTTTTTATCGATTGATTTTTTATATATTATTTAAGGGCCTCAATTTTTTATTTCGTATTGGACCATGAATATCTCAGAATCGGCACTGCGTACACCTTCTCTGGAGAAAATTTCGAAGAGCTTTGGATCAGTAACAGATATGTAAAGTGGTGAGAATCCCTGAAGAGTATAACTCCATAGCCTTTGGTATTGCATCGAGCGCCCTGCAAACTCAATGGCAGCAGTCTTACCTGGCGAGGAATGGTCCAGTTTGGCTGGACTCTTGCATCAATAAGAAAGCAGCATGTTCAATCTAAAGCCCTCTAGCTATTATCTCGAAGCAGCAATGAGTCTCCGAGTTTACGAATTCTTTGTTACTCTATCCCTCTATTTGGGGTTTCATGGTGCCTACTGGCTACCTTCTTTGTTATTTCTTTCTGTTATTGGCGACTTGATTCTGTTACAACCGTTTGATTGGTTGTTCTACTGTGGACACTTTCAATGGCAAAAAAAAAGAAAAAAAGTCAGAATTCTAAAGTGAAAGTAAATACTAATCGGGACCCTTAGAGCATCCACATCAATGAACCCCCTCTTGAGGTTCATTGAATCAATTTTTTATTACTAAAATTTTTCTATTTTCTTTTTGATTTTTTTTTTTAAAAGTCAGAATTCTAAAGTGAAAGTAAATACTAATCGGGACCCTTATAGCATCCACATCAATGAACCCCCTCTTGGGGTTCATTGAATCAATTTTTTATTACTAAAATTTTTCTATTTTCTTTATAATTTTTTTTTTAAAAAAACCTTGACCAATTCCGGACCGCCATGTGTTGAACCTTAGGAGAAAGGAATTCACCCCAGAGAACTTTAGGAGAATGGTTCATAGGTTTTTGTTATTATTTTTTTTTTTTTGGTTTCCATGTGAACCCCTATTTGAACTTTCAACGGGGGTGCTCTTTTTTTTTTTTTAACGCTGATAATTGAATAAAGTTTGAGGACAACAAAATAGTAAACAAGAAACAGGAAAATGAGATGTCAGTAGACACCATCATAAGAGCAAAAACACGATATATAAGAAGCATGGATTACTACTCCCTAACTTACTGAGCCTCCAAAACAAGAAGGTGATGAAGCCACGATGGAGCATTCCGAGCGATATACGACTGATGGCGCCTATCCCGGCTCACACTGATAGTAATGGCCGCTGCAGCTTCATTACGTTCTGGAAGAGAATGATCTAGTCTCCATGAATCAATTCTTGTAAGTAGCCAGAAGATGCTATGACGAATGTGGTTGAAACTAGGGTGTGCTATTGGACAAGTAATAGCGTCATGTAGGCACTCCGAGAAAGTCTCAAAGATAATATTACGGGGGTGCTCTTAGTCCTTACTTGATAGTTAATGCTTAGTGGAATGGGAATCAATTCGTCAATTTCAAATTTTACCAAAAAAGTTGGGTGCAAATAGAGTTGTCGACCAAAAACAATTTGTAAATTTTTTTTTTTTTGTCAACTAAAACAAAATTTTTGTAAATTAAAAGCCAGGAAGCCCTAAAAGCCCAATAATAATAAAATGTCTTTTTCTCTTTACAGCCCGTTAGTTTCCACCGGATACTCTCACTGCAATCACCAAAACCATATCCCACCGCCGTCGACGACGAAGAAGACGACGTCTGCTTTGCCACCGTCACTGCGTCAACGGAGGAGAGAGTTAAGAAGCGTCTTAACTTGCTCGCTGGATCCAATGGAAGTCTGCGGCGTAGATTCTGAAGGTAAAGAGTTTAACAGCGCACAAGAGATGTGGAGAGAAGCAATTGGAGAAGAAGGAGATGAAACCAAGAAGACACAATGGTACAGAGACGGTGTTTCTTACTGGGAAGTAAGCTTTCAGACATTCTT